CCTAACCACCTCTTATGTCAGAAGTCATCTGACTTTCTTCAGGAAGCACGCTCAGTGCTGTTTCTTAGTGTGTGAACATACATGCGGACCCTGGTGAGAGCCCCCAGGAGGTCTGACAAGTCTCATTCCATCAGCAACCACGTGCCATGTGACTGGCCACCTGCCTCTTTATCTCTAGCTCCTTAAGTCAGGAGTTCCGTTTGGCTACAGAGCTTGACACCGTGGAGGTCAGCCAAGGTCAGGGCTCCAGTAAGAATAACTCACAGCTTGCTCCCTGCTCTCCTCTGCGCACAGGCTGCAGCACAGTGAACACTGATTTTCCACGCTCAGCTTCCAGGATGTGAGGCTCAATCCCTGAAATACAGATCCCTAAAAAAAAGTCTGATGTAGCCTCCAAAAAGGTGTTTGGAATTTAGGGGGGAAAAAAAGAAGCTTCTACTTTCTGGTCCTTTCCAGGGTGGTTCTGTTTCAAAGTTGGCTGCCCAGTGCGAACATACTTTTTAGGTTTGTCCAAAGGAGGGCAATCATTACAGTTTTTTAAAAAGTGTATTTATTTATTTCTCAGCTGTGTTGGGTCTTCACTGCTGTGTGGCCTTTCTCTAGCTGTGGAGAGCAGAAGCCACTCTCAGCTTGTGATGCTTGGGCTTCTCACTGCAGTGGCTTCTCTTGTTGCAGAGCATGGTCTCCAGCGTGTTCAGGCTTCAGTAGTTTCGGCACAGGGGCTCAGTAGTTGTGAATTCCCAGGCTCTAGAGCACAGTCTCAATAGCTGTGGCACTTGGCCTTATGCTCTGTGGCATGGAGGATCTTCCCAGATCAGAGATCTAACCTGTGTCTCCTGCATTGGTAGGTGGATTCTTTACCACCGAGCAACCAGGGAAGCCCAATCATTATTTTTTTAAAAACTAATGATTGTGTAGAATTGCAAACATACAAACAAGTGTTAACAATGATATATTTTAAAAATTGTAATAAAGGGTCAAGCTTAATAACATTCCTACATGCCTCCCTTGCTTTGGAGTCTCTCGCCATTAAAAAAAAAATTTACAGATACAGTATACCCACCTTCAATTCTATTCCTTTTCTTCCTCTCCAGTGTCAAACAGTATCCTACAGTAGCTGTTCATCAGTGTTCCACATAGTTTTATATATCCATGTATCCATCAATGGCATTAAATTCCTCTGAGTATTTTAAGTTTTATATAAAAGTTACCATACCACACATATCATTTTGTAACTTGCTGTTGTTCAGTATTATATTTACAAGATCTTTCTTTATTAATACATGTGATGGTCAGTTTTATTTGTCAACTTGACTATAGTGTCCAGTCATTCAATGAAACACTAATCTAGGTATTATTGTGAATGTATTCTGTAGATGGGATTAAAGCCCTTGATCAGTTGATCAGGTAAGGGAGATCATCCTACATAATTTGGATGAACAAGATTCAATCAGTTGAAAGGTATCATGAGCAGAGCTGAGGCTTCTCTGAAGAAGAAAAAAATTATCCTGTGGACAGCAGCTTCACATCCTGCTTGACAGTTCCAGATTGCCCTTCCTGATGGCTACCCCGTGGATTTTGGACTTAAACTAGCCAAGTCTGCAATCATGTAAGCCAATTTCTTGCAATAAACCTCTTACCATATATCTCCCATTGGTCTTTCCCTCTGGTTGAACCCTGACTGCTGGTTTGTTTCTCTGGGTTGAGCCCTGATACACACCTCTGATTAATTTCTTGGTGTTGCTTTCTTGTGGAAAACAGACACTCAATATTTTAGACTTTGTGGGCTATGTAGTTTCTGTTGCAACTATTCAATGATGTCATTGTAGCAAGAAAGCATCCATAGATGGTACATCAAGGACTGCGGGTGGCTGGGTTTCAATAAAGGTTTATTTACACAAAGAGTGTTGGGCTGGATTTGACTCATGGGCTGCATAGTCTGATAACCCCTGCTATATTGTTTGACTTTGTAGCAATAAACCACAGTTTGCCTGTTCACCTGTGATGGACATTTTTCTACATTTTCTGCTGTTACTATGAAATGTTGTACCTAACATTCTTGTACACATTATTTTATTTGTGCACATGTTCAAGATTTTCTCAATCTAGGAGTGGAATTACTGGGCCATGGGGGTATGTGAGTCTTCAACCCAACTAGATAAATGCCAAATTGCCTGCTAAAGAAACTGTTCAGATTTATACTCCTATCAATAGGCCATGAGAAGTTTCATTTTTCTACAAAGAGCCCTGCTGAATTAGGGAAGAGAGACAATAAATAAACAAGTAAATAAACAAGCAAATTTCAGGTAGTGAAAATGCTTTGGAGAAAACAAGTCAAGGTTAATAGGATAGAGGGGACAGTCAAGAAGACACAGAAAAAGGTGATATTAACTACAGTGGTTGTGGAAGACCTCTCCCAAAGGGCATCCTTTAAGCCAAGACCTGAATAAGCAGAACAAACTGAGGCAGGAAGCCTCCAGGGAGAGACAACAGCATGTGCAAAGGCCCTGGGGTGAGAATGAGCCTAGCATGACTGAGGCACACGAAGGGGTCCAGAGTGTCTGGAGTTTCATTAAGCAAGGGACAGTGGTACAAAAGAGACTGAAGGGGCCAAGGGGCTGCAGGTAGGGAGAGGACGTGATAAGAGAGACTTGATTCTCAGTGCTTGAAAAATAGCAGTGCCTGAGTCAAGTACATCTGACACAAAGGTAAGACAGAGCCCAGGCCTCAAGAGGCTATGATCTACAGTAGAGGCAAACACATGAACAGATGTAATAGAATGTGCAAAATACTGTAACTGAGGTAGATGTGTAGGAGGGTTGGAGGTGGGAGACAAGAAAGAGGCAAGAATGATCCTTTATTCATATTTTTTAAGACAGAATTTCTATAGCCTTTTATTTAAGCCACAAAGTAGAAAAATTCTCTTAAAAATAATATACACACACATATATATGTGTGTGTGTATAAAGTATATGGTACTACCTTATTTTCACATTGGGATTAGTAGGTAGAGAGCCCTTCTGTGTGCTCCCTTTCCCCGCCTGCAGAACCTGTATTTACTTGTTTCTTTGTCCCACCAATCTTCATGTTCCATGAAAGCAGCAGCTGAGTTTTATTGTCCAGTGAAGCACAGCTCTGGCGTAAGGGGAGAAGGTCAGATTCTAGTGGTCTGCCTTTTCTTAGGTTAGGGGTTTTTTTCCCTTTTACTATCTCCCTATCCTCACCTGACTTTGGGGAATATGCCAAAGAATACGGAGGTCAAAATGATGGGCTGGCTTCTGTATGAATTCACTAGTATGGCTTCTAACCACTGAGATATTTCCAGAATATTATAACTTACTCAATGGTTTTTATTGTAAAACATGTCAAACATCCAGAAAGTATAAAATTGTACAGTTTGAGAAATAGTAAAGATCCATGTATGTATATCCTGGTTAAGAAGCAGATCATTGCCCACTCTTGAGAGGCCACTTGTACATCCCTCCTTAACCACATTCCTACCCCCCCACCTCCACGTACACATTTACCTTTATTTGGGTTAATCAGTCCCTTGCTGTTCTTTACAACATTTCTACTTGTGTACACAACAGTCTGCCTTTTCTGAAGGTGGTACACCACGAGACCCCTAGTGGATGTCTGAGATCATTATATCCATGGCTGATTCATGTCAATGTATGACAAAAACCACTACAATATTGTAAAGTAATTAGCCTCCAACTAATAAAATAAAAATAAAAATAAAAATAAAATTTTTTTTTTAAAAAAAGGGAAAGTTCTGGTCACTCAGTCATGTCTGACTCTTTGTAACTCCATGGACTATAGCCCATCAGGCTCTTTGGTCCATGGAATTCTCCAGGCAAGAATACTGGAGTGGGTAGCCATTCCCTTCTCCAGGGGATTTTCCCAACCCAGGGATTGAACCCAGGTCTCCTGCATTCAAGGCAGTTTCTTTACCATCTGAGCCACCAGGGAAGCTCACTTGAGAGCTTGGATAGTACCGGACACTCTCTACATGATGTTTTTTCCTATACATACATACATACATACATACCCATGATACAGTTTAATTTATAAATTGCCATAAGAGATTAACAATAAATAATGATAAAATAGAACAATTGTAACAATCTACTGTAGTAAAAGTTATGTAAATGTGATCTTTCTCTCTCAAAATACCTATTGTACAACTTGAATGCCTTTTCTATCTCAACTAAGCACTTTGCACACACTGTGCTCATGACTTTTGCAGTTTGAGTTGCAACAGCGCAACTAGCATGAATTTAGTTTTCCTTCTTTACAATTTCACTAGCAGAAGATTCATTCCATAGATCTTAGCGACCTCAGATACATTTTTTTCCTTTCTTTATTAAATCTAGAACTTTCACTTTTTTTACTCAAAGGAAGTACTTTACTATTTCTCTTTGGTGGATTCAAATTGTGCTCTGTGGCTCTCTGTGGCTCATGTGCTCAGTCAAGTCCGACTCTTTGTGACCCCATAGACTGTAGCCCACCAGGTTCCTCTATCCATGGGATTTCCCAGGCAAGAATACTGGAGTGGGTTGCCAAGATCCAGTGGATCTTCCCAACCCAGGGATTGAACTTGTGTCTCTTGCATCTCCTTCATTGGAGGCAGATTCTTCACCATAAGTGTGACTTGCACACAAGCCTTGTGATATCAACAACAGTCATCTGAAAAACCAAAAGGCTACTGAATGACGGATACACAGGACAAAGGGATGATTCACTACCTGGGCTGGACCCAATGCGATAGTGCAAGATTTCCTCATCTACTCAGAATGGGGCACAGTTCAAAACTTATGGGCTGTTTATTTCTGGAATTTTTCATTTAATGTTTTGACCAAGGGTAACTAAAAATATGAAAAGCAAAACCACAGATAAGTGGTGACTACGTATGCATCTAAACAAAATGTATTTTAGTTTTAAATCACAAGTAGCAAGCACATACCTAGCTATGTAAGGACAGGTGATCCTACCTCTGTTAGATGAAGACTCCCAGGAAAAGGTAAGCTGAAAATTCTCGGAGCCAGAGTCAGCCTTTAGGTTCCCTGGGGGTCAGTGGGTAAGGTCACATCTGAGTCCTGGGGAAAGAAGGAAAGGAAAAAGGTTAACACAGGTCTTGCAATAAGTCAGGAAGAGAAAAACAAATATTTCACATTAACACATATAGGTGGAATCTAGAAAAATGGTACAGATGAACCCATTTGCAAGGCAGAAATGAAAGCACACAGGTAGAGAATAAATATAAGGACACCCAAGGGGGAAATGGCATGGTGGTGGAGTGACCTGAGAGATGGGGATCGACTTATGTACACTAATACACAGAAAATAGATAACTAATGAGAACCTGCTATAGAGCACAGGGAACTCTAAATGCTGTGTGGTGGCCTAACTGGGAAGGAAATCCAGAAAAGAAGGGTGATATGTACACATATAGCTGATTTTCTTCACTGTACAGCAGAAACTAACGCTATATTGTAAATCAACTAGCCCCTCCCCCAAATAAAGAGGGCTGTAACTCACCCCTTTCCCACTAGAGAATGTCTTTGTCAGACCATTGCTATAATTTTGTCAATGGTATTAAGGAGAAAGATTTGGGAGGGTCTACTTATAATGTGTTTTTAACAGGAATTATCTGCTCTGTTGAGACTGATCATTGCAAATAAATGTTGGATTTGTGGATTAAGAAGCCTGACCTGCTGGGGAATGGGAAGGGCAGGGCATTTCCAGTGTAATTATTCCCTACCAGCATGAATACATAAAGTATAAATAAAGTATAATACAGCTTTCTTTGAGAGCAATTGCATACCTAGCTCAAAACTCCTATCTATCTCTGACACCAAAATATGTCCTAACATAGGTGAAAGGGACACTTTTGAAAACTGGTAGTTTTAGAGCCCTCCAGGAAAAAAATGTTCTGTGTTGCATCTGTTGCTTGCCTGTATCCTTTTAATTATTTGTGGTTTGTTGCTGTAAAATCTAGGATTTTTATCATCCCATTTGACAGACTGACATTTTGTGTGAACTTGTTACAGTCACCATAATAGGGGCATTTGGCGATATTGTAGAATTACCCAGATACTAGATGTCTACCAGAAATGTGGTCAACAGTTGTCCTCTAATTTGTGTCTCTGAGTTCACCATGGACTCCCTTAGCTCTCAAAAACAAGGTAAACTATCATGAGATACCACTTCACACCCATTTGGATGGCAACTATAAAATACAAAAACAGAATGTAGCAAAATAGCAAGAGTTGATAGGGATGTGGAAAAGTTGGAACCCTTTCTGCATTGTTTGTGGAAATGTGAATTGGTATAGTCACTATGGAAAAGAATATGCAGGATGCTCAAAAAACTAAAAATAGAACTGCTCTTTGATCCATCAACTCCAATTCTCAGTATGGAGCCAAAGGATATGAAATCCTATCTTAAAGAAATACCAATCTTAAACTTATCTTTTCTGGGAGTCTTCATCTAATAGAAGTAAGATCACCCTGTCCTTATATAACTAGGTCGTGCTTGCTACCCAGTGTTTTAAAACTAAGACATACCTTGTTTAGATACATACAGTAGTCACAACTTACCCATGATTTCATTTTCCATATTGTCCATTATCCCTGGTCAACCACAGTATGAAAACATTAAATGAAAAATTCTAGAAATAAACAATCTGTATATTTCAAACTGCACCCCATTCTGAGTAGGTGAGGAAATCTCATGCCATCCTGCGGAGTCCAGCCCTGGTCATGAAAAATAATTAGCTGAAATGGTAAATTTGATGTTATGTCTATTTTACCACAATTTTTTTTTGAAAAAGAGAAAGGGCAAAGCTGACATATCTGTGGGGTTATGATAGATGTCTCTACTGACCCAGGGAGCAGGGCATGGAGGGGAGTCAGGCCAAGTGCAGAAAAGACTGGCCAGTTTCACCCAGACGTGTTGCATTTAGTTTAAGAGAGGACAGTGGCCACAAGCATCACGGCAGTGACAGCTCTCTCTTCCTGCCACATTGTTCCATCGAACCAGTAACCCTTCCCATCCGCTGCAGAGCTGTCACCCTGGACGCTCTCTTTGCCACTTCCCTGCGGAATACTTTCACTGTTTCCTGTGTTGGATCTCCTGCTTTTTTGGTTGTTGTTGCTGTCTGACTCTTGGTGACCCCATGGGCTGTAGCATGCCAGGCTTCCCTGTCCACCATCTCCCAGAGCTTGCTCAAACTCGTGTATTTTTGAGTCGGTGATGGTATCTCACCTTTTCTGTATCTTTTTTCTAGGCGTATGCCCTCTTTTGGAGGGCATGCCTGGGAGATTTCTTTCTTAAGCTCATACATTCCAGAAAAAAAGCCTTCTTCCTCCCTCATACACAAAGATAGCTTGGCTAAATATGGAATCACTTGTCTTCAGAATTCTGAAGGAATGGCTCCATACCTTCTTGGTTCTGGTCTTGCTGCTAAGAGGGGACACCCAACAAGGACCTACTGTATAGCACATGAAACTCTGCTCAGTGTTGGGTGGGAGTTGATGGAGGGGAGGGGAGTTTGAGGGAGAGTGTATATTTATGGATGAAACCCTTCATTATTCACTGGAAACTATCACATTGTTAATCAGCTATAACCCATTACAAAATAAAAAGTTAAAAAAAAGTCTACACCTATTTTGATTGCTCTCTTCTGGGTGACCTATTTTCTCTCTATCTATGTCTTTAAGATTTCATATTTGCCTCCAGTGTTTTTGGAAACATCACAATGTGCATTAGTATGATTCTCATTCATTACACTGTGTATCCTTTGAATCTAGTGATTCCTCTTCGGTTCTGAAAATTTTTAGTGACCCGTTTTATCATGATTTATCTCTTTTTTTTTAATCTTCTTATTCACAAAGTCTTATCCTGGACTTATCAAAGCCTTTCTGGACTGCTCCTCTATTTTCTTGTCTTTTTACCTCTGTCATTTTGCTCCACTATCTGGGAGATTTTCTCAGCTTTATCTCCTAACTTCTCTTTTGCATTATTTTTATTTCTGCTGTTAAAAGCTCTTTTTCCAAAAGCACTTTGTGTTTTCTAAATTGTCCTTTATTACTGCATCCTGCTCTGACTTCAAGGATGCAGTATTTCTATCTCTCTCCAGATATTTATTACAGTTTATGGTGATGAAGTTGTTTTCTCCCTGAATAGCCTGTTTCTTTCTAGTTTTGTTTTTTATTTGTTAATTATGATTAGTAAAGGCATTTGTAAGTCTGGGAATCTTGGTTGTTTGCTCATGATGGGGGAGCTAAAGTGCTGATGGATTCTCTGAGGGCCTGGTTAGTACTTATTAACTTTGAGCATCCCTCTAGGGTGATCTAAGTATGTTTTGGGGGGACTTTGGTGCTAGTATCCTAGAGTCATTCCTCCTAAGCTGGCCAGATCTCCCCAGCCCCATCCCCTGCTTCCTAGAAGACGTTTCAAGTCCCCAGCCTAGAGGTAAGTGTCTAGACACCAATGTTCTGGAGGTCCCTGTGAAGTACTCAGTACACTTGCAGTCACTTATTTCCTCATTATCGACATGGTTCCCAATCGTACGTTAAAGAGAAAAGGAATTTGTTTACTGAATGAGTTACAAATCTTTCTCCATGAAGAGACAGAACATACAGAAATCACCTGTATAGAGCTCAGGGAAGCTGAGGCAGAGGAAGAAGGGTTAGACTTACACTGTGTCTAGCGGACACCTCTCCTGAATCATCTCTCTTCGGCTTCACTGGCAACCTTAAAAATCCAGCGCTAAGGGTTTCCTATATGACTAAGCTCTTCACTTTTTAGAAACTGTAAGTGCATGTCTTATGCTTTTAAAAGTTCACACCCACTTCTTTATTGTGAGCAGGTGAGGTGCACCAAATCTATTTACTATTGATGTTGATGTATCTCAGATTAACAAAGCACGTGACTCACAGAAACTTATTTCCCCAAGACTTGTCAGGGATCCCTCCAATTTCCCAGAAGGAATATTCCCTCCACCTCCTCTCTAACTCTAGGCTCTGAAACATGGCTTTATGAGTAAGAATCTGAAAAATAACCAAACCTAATATGACTCTATGCAGAGAGTCACTTACCATGAAAATATCTTAGGTAACCAGAGGCTTCCAGCAACACCTTTGGCAAACAGGATGAGGAATGAGGCCACCATGGGTTTGCTTCCTTGATTTCATTCAAGACTCAGTTGTTAGACCTCAACTTATTGCCTTGCAAGTATCACCCAGTCTTGAAGATGAGAAGGTGGAGAAAGAAAGAGGGCTCCAGGCTGGAAAGAATTGTCAGAGAAATTGAAAGGTCTGAAGGATGAGTGTGGGTTTGTGAGCTGTGATGGAGAGTGAGCAGTGGTTGGCAAGGGATAAGTGAGACAAGTCAGCCTAGGAGATGACTAGAGGCAACAAGAGGAGGGAGGACGAAATCCAAATTGGGGTGACTTAGGAGATGAATGAGAGCCAAAGGCACCAAGTAAGGAGACCGAGATGATGATAATAAAAACAGCAACTGAATAATCAATGGTAATTAGTATGCCAGATGCTTTAATCCATTATCTCCAATCTTTATCCAACCTCCCAGCAAAGCATCATCACTCGCATAATACATATGCAAAAGCAGAAGGTCTGAGGAATCCAGCGTGGCGCAGTCTGCATGCTTCTAGAGTCCAGCTGCCTTTTATCACTCCATACTGCCTCCTGATTCATGCCACATTACCCACTGATTCAGCCAGCCAGACACCTACTACCTACAAACTGCTAAGCTGCATGCTGAAAATGGCAAAAAAATACATGTCACCAAGTGGCAGAGATCCCTACATTCTTCTATTTATTTTTTTTCTATGAGAAAGATTTTATTTTAATGGAAAATGTTATTTCCAATAACAAAGCAATAATCTGGTTTGAGGGATGCTGATGGCTGATTCATGTCAATGTATGGCAAAAACCACTACAATATTGTAAAGTAATTAGCCTCCAACTAATAAAAATAAATGGGAAAAAAAATTTTAAAAAAATAAAATAAATAAAATGAAATGATGTTCCCACCTCTAGATCAGGTAAGCTAAACTCAATCTTCCTGTCCA